ACACACACACCGAGACACTTGGTTTCTATTGATCTTTTTGGTTTCTGTCTATCAACGCTTGAGGCCCTTGGGCCGCTCACATAGCATTCAAGCACTCAGTAGCAGACATTCACTCCCTCACCCAGTCATGTCACCCACTCGTGCAAGCGCCTGTCTGAAATGAGCACACTTTCGGTTTTGATTGCTTCCCTCATCTCTGAGCACTGGGAATGATGTAAGATTTCAACAAATTTTCCCCAATGACGAGAAGTTGCAAAAGATTCGAGGGTGATTTAATGATCCCGCCGCGATTCAATTTCGCTGTTCACCAGTACCACCAACACGAGCCAACCAACCAACCGCACGAAGACTACGAAGGATGGCAAGCACGAGAGGCAGCTTCGATTCGGCGTCAGGCGGGCTGTGGCGCATCGACGAAGAGGTTGTTGTATGCAGAGCTGTCGTGTGTCTCTCAGTCTCTGCCTCTCTTTCATTTTCTATCCCCTTCCGTCTCTCAGTCTCAGTCTCTCTTTCGCTTTCTGTTTCTCTGTCTCTGTCGTGCTCTTTCTGTTTTGCTCTATCTTGCTCTCTTGCTTATGCGATCGTCCCTTGGAGTGATTGAGCACACACTTGTGTCTTGTGTCGTCTGTGCCCGTGTGTCGACCCTGACGTTGGTTGTTGTTGTCGATTCCCGCCTTCCTCGTTTTCTTTCCACACCGTCTGTGTTACTGTGTTTCCCACTCTTTGCATCCTGTACGGAAGAACAGAGAGAGCATGTGTGTGTGTGTGTGTTGATGCGTGTATGTGTATGTGCATATCTCTCTGTGGTGCATCTTCACTTCACACACAACCTTAGTGTGGCTCACGTTCCTGTTTACCTGTGCCTTTGTGCCCGCCTTTGTCTTGGCCTAGTCCTGTTCTGACACCAAGTCGGGCAGCATGAGCTCTGAGACATTCAACGCAGTACGTACAAAGGAATGCGACCATGCTGCTGTGTTGCACGTTCACTTGGCCACAGCACACACACACACACACACACTCCCCTGCCCATTGCATCTCACTCAAACACAACACAACATGTTCCTTGCTTTCTGCCTGCTCTGTGCGTGTCGTGCCTTGAATCGTGTGCTGTTGCACATAAGCAGGCCTCAAGGGTAAGCGGAAACAGCAGGTGTTCATGGTCTGTCGAGTACAAGCTGGATTGCATGATACACGTGTTCGTCCTGCCAGCAGAAGCAGACCAGCATCACGATCGTCGCCACCACAGCGCAACCACCATCACAGCGCCGTTATCATTGCTGCGCCGCTACACAGCTGCTTGTGTGTGTGTGTGTGTGTGTGTGTGTGTGTTTG